GACAAGGGGCAATGGGCACAAACTGGAGCACAGGAGGGTCAAGTGAAACATGAGGAAACACTTCTTGACTGTGAGGGTGGCAGAGCCCTGGGACAGGCTGCCCAGGGAGGCTGTGGAGTCTCCATCCCTGGAGACATTCCCACCCCACCTGGATGTGTTCCTGTGGGATCTGCTCTAGGGGATCCTGCTCTACAGGGGCTTGGACTGGATGATCTCCAGAGGTTCCTTCCAACCCCACCACTATGTGACTCTATGATTGGGCTGATGAAGCACTGGCAGGGACGGTGCCATCCTGCTCTCTCCTCCAGCCAAGTGCCACCTCCCTGCCCCGGGCTGAGCTGGCACCTTCCTGAAGGAGCTGGTCCTGCCCGTGGGGTTTGGAGGCTCCTGTGGAGCAGGTGAGCTCAGCTCCCAGGACCGGTCTGGCTTGTGCCTGCAGCTGGGAATGGGGTTACAGAGGGAGCGGAGGCAAAGCTGGAGCCTGTGGAGATGCAGGGATTCCCTCAGCTGTCCCACAGATCCCCCTGGCGTCACACTGGGGACAAAGTGCTCCAGTTGTCTGTGTGAGGCTCTTGGTGAGCGCCAGGGAGTCTGCACTGGCCACTTGCCCTCTGTCCCCAGCCCCACAGGGACCGTGTGGGTGGCAGGAGCCTGTGCTGCCCAGGGGACACCTACAGAGGACCAGGCCTGTGCCCTGGGTCTGATCCAAGGCACATTTGATTCCTCACAGTGAGGGTGAAAGCCAGGAGGGGTTTAGGCACAACTGGTCACCCCTGTGGATCCTTAAACTGAGAAGCTGGAGTGGAGCAGCCCAGGGTGTGGGATGGAGAAACCCTCCCAGCTGCCACTGTCCAGGCAGGAGGGGATGGGAGGGGACAAGAGAGGACTCAGCAGCTGCTCCCTGAGCTGGTGTCACAGCTTGGGCAGAGGGAGCCAGGAGGTCCCAAAGCCTGCAGCACCCAGCTGAGCCTGAGGTCCAGTATCCCTCTGGGAGCAACGTGTTCCCTGAGGAACAGCATCCACAGAGACCTTCCAGATTGTCCCTCACCCTGCCAAGGGCTTCAGAGCCACTGGGTGGGTTTGGGGTGAGGGGTGTTTGGCTCTTGGGGGGCTGCAGAGCTGTGTTACAAGAGGCCTCCCCAGGCCTCCCGCTGGGGATGGCTGCTCTGGTGTCACAGCTCCCTGGAGAGAGGAAACGGTCAGGGAGGTGGTGCTGCCTGCACATCCTCCTGCCCTGGCCAGGCTCAGTGCTGGCTCTGCTCCCAACTGCCCCAGCCTGGGGGGGAACTGGTCCTCCCAATCCCTCTGGGGCATCAGGTCTGGCTTGTCATCTGTCCTCCCTTCAGCTCATCCTGCCACCACCCTCCTGCTGGGGCTTTCTGGGCCATCCAGGTTGGGATGTGGAGGCTCAACCTCCCACAGACCCCTTGGACCAATGGTGGGGACTCAGAGGGGAGTGGGTCCTGCTCCCTCCCACTGGCAGGAGGGAGCCAAGCTTCCAGCCATGAGCTATTAGTGTTAATTTTTATGATTAACATTGTTTTCCCCCTTATGGTGGAAATTTCTTGTGCCTTGTCACTCCCACAATTCACTTCTCTCCCAGTGCCTGGTGTCTTGCCAGACTCAGGGGAGAAAAAAAAGGAATCTGCTGTCAGAATTCTTACTTGAAATCCCCAGTGGGCAAATGGCCCCAAATCCTGAGCTTTTTTTACCAAAAATAGGCTCAAAAACATGAACAGAATCAGCCTGTCTTCAGGCTGCCTGTTTGTGCTGGGAGTGAGCCCCTAGTCCTGGTGGTGAGGAGGGTCTGGGTATTGTAGAATCATCATGGAATCATAGAAGGGTTTGTGTTGGAAGGGACCTTGAAGATCATTTAGTTCCCAACCCCCCTGCATGGGCAGGGACACCTCCCACCAGCCCAGGCTGCTCCAAGCCCCATCCAACCTGCCCTTCAACACTGCCAGGGATGGGGCAGCCACAGCTTCCCTGGGCAACCTGGGCCAGGCTCTCACCACCCTCACACTCCACAATTCCCTCCTCATGTCTCCCCTCAATCTCCCTCTCCCAGTTTTCATCCATCCCCCCTTGTCCTCTCCCTCCCTGCCCTTGTCCAAAGACCCTCCCCAGCTTTCCTGGAGCCCGTTCAGGCCCTGGAGGGCTGTTATGAAGTGTCCCGAATGCTGGGGATGGACGGGGGTGTCATGATGACCTTCCTTGGTGGCCAGTGTTGGCCCTTGGTGCCCCAGGGTTTGGCTCTTGCCCTTAAAGCTGATGTCCTGGCGGGAGGTGCTGTCCCCACGCGTCCCCCGTTAACGCGTCTCCCCGGTGCTGCAGGTACACGGTGCTCTTCTCTCATGGCAACGCCGTGGACCTGGGGCAGATGAGCAGCTTCTACATCGGGCTGGGCACCCGAATCAACTGCAACATCTTCTCCTACGACTACTCGGGCTACGGGGTGAGCACGGGGAAGCCCTCGGAGAGGAACCTCTACTCTGACATCGACGCGGCCTGGCAGGCGCTGCGGACGCGGTGAGCGGGGCAGGGAAGGAGGGTGTCCAGGGAAAACCTGCAGGCAGGAAATCTGGAGAACAGGAAATCTCCCGGAGAGGGAGCCCTGGCTGCTCCTAACAGGAAGGGATGGCCGGAAAACAGCTGCAGGGGAGTGGGGCAGGAGTGCTGTGGGGGGTGTCACCTTGCTGGGGGTGCTGGCACAAGCGGTGTGCCCTGTCTGATTGTTGCCAGGCTCTAGTTGTTGCCAGGTTCCTCCTGGCTGTGCTCAGCCCTGATTCCCAGGCTGGGCTGGAGGTGCAGCCCCATGGTGGGCTCTGCCCCAGGACCACTGAGCCCCCACTGTGACCTTGGCCAGGCTCAGCATTGACACCCCCACAACTCGTTAAATCCCAGGCTGATTTGGGTTGGAAGGGACCTTAAAAATCATCTGGATCCAACCCCCCTGCATGGGCAGGGACACCTCCCGCCTGCCCAGGTTGCTCCAAGCCCCATCCAACCTGCCCTTCAACACTGCCAGGGATGGGGCAGCCACAGCTTCCCTGGGCAACCTGTTCCAGGGTCTCAGCAGACACACCTGGCAGCTCAGCCCTGGCTGGTACCTCGTCCCTGAGGGGAGCAGGGGCAGCTGCTCTGGCCCAGCCCCGAGGAGCTGGAGGCAGATGCTGGGACAGACTCACTCTCTCCACCCCAGGAAGCCTTAGAGAGTGCTGTGACCAGAGCGAGTTGACACCCTGGGCTGTTACCTCCTGCTGATGGGGTCTCTGCCCTGCCCTCTCCCCTCCCAGGTATGGGATCAGCCCAGAGAACATCATTCTGTACGGGCAGAGCATCGGGACAGTGCCCACGGTGGACCTGGCGTCGCGCTACGAGTGCGCGGCCATCGTGCTGCACTCCCCCCTCACCTCTGGCATGAGGGTCGCCTTCCCCGACACCAAGAAGACCTACTGGTTTGATGCCTTCCCCAAGTGAGTGGCCTGATGAGAAGGGAGGAGGGTCAGCTCTGCAGGGGCAGTGCCCAGATCAGCTGTTCTGGCCACGACCAGCCCTGGCCACCCAGAGGGTTATGGGGAAAACTGTGGGCTTGTGTCATAGCGCCGGTTTGAGTTGGAAGGGACCTTCAAGATCGTCCAGTCCCAACCCCCTGCATGGGCAGGGACACCTCCCACCAGACCAGGTTGCTCCCTCCAACCTGCCCTTCAACACTTCCAGGGGTGGGACTTCCACATGTTTCCCATGATAGGCTTAAACATGCCTGTTGGGATCCCCCTACCTTGTCTTTGGTCCCCTCCAGGGGACTGTAACCTTCCCTGGGGACACTTCCCCTCTCCTCATCATGCTGTGTGCCACACATCCCCTGGTAGCATCAGCTGAGCCATCTTAGAATCATAGAATGTCAGGGGTTGGAAGGGATCTCCAAAAGTGATCTAGTCCAACCCCGCTACAATCAGCAGGGACATCTCACACTAGACCAGGTTGCTCAGAGCCCTATCAAGCCTCACCTTGAATGTCTCCAGGGATGGGGCCTCCACCACCTTCCTGGGCAACCCATTCCAGTGATCCACCACCTTCATATTCAAGAACTTTTTCCTAATGTCCAACCTAACCCTACCCTTTTCTAGCTTGAAACCATCACCCTTGTCCTGTTGTTACATGCCCTGTGAGCAGTTCTTCCCCAGCCTTCTCACAAGCCCCTTCAGGCACTGGAAGGTGCTCTAAGGTCCCCCTGAAGTTTTCTTCAGGCTGAACAACCCCAACTCCCTCAGCCTGTCTTCATAAGAGGGGTGTTCCAGCTTCTGATAATTTTCCTTGCTCTTTGGTGCCTTTGCCCATCAGCTTTGGAGCTGCCCTGCTGGCCCTGTCAGCTTTTAAACCCCTAGGGGGTCCCTGGGACCCCTCTCCCCCCCAGGGGTAATTTCTAGGGCTTTTTTCCCCCCTCTGCAGAGGGGACAGTGGCAGGAAAGGCAGCACTGAGGTGGGATGAGCTCTTGCTTTGCCTCTGCCTTGCAGTGGGACCTGAGGGACAGTCCCTCAGCTGGGAGCCACCAATTCCTGCTCTGCATCCCAGCCCCGCTCCCAGTCCTCCCAACCCTGCTCCCCAGTCCTCCCAGCCCTGCTCCCCAGTCCTCCCAGCCCTGCTCCCCAGTCCTCCCAGCCCTGCTCCCGAGTCCTCCCCCTCCTGCTCCCCAGTCCTCCC